GCCACCATGTGAGACCTCTACCCACTCTACCGGAGGTATCCCAGCGAGTGAGCACGTCCCTGTATATCCCAGTGCTTAACAAGCTAGGGAATAGCATATGAAAAGGGACAAATAAAAATGGGAACTATGGCTATAGTTTACTTAATAACATAAAAGGGCTAGAATACAACAAACTCCTGATGGAAATTTACACAATTAACAATTGACCTATGAGACTTATTACCAGGGGGGAAGGGTAGATGTTATCAGTAACCGGAAATAGGTACTCACTCTTAATTCACCGACCAGCTGACCCGAGATTCCCAATGCGTGGTCTATACACACGCGGCTGTCCAGAGCTCTCGCTCGACGGACCTGTCACCAACAACCTCCTTGCCCCGCTCTTTCCTGGGCTTATATCGTAGTCAAAGTACCCCCCTCCCCAATGGTGTATGTACCACGTGTACGACCTGACGCCTAGGTCTGAGGCGTCAAGAACAAAAGACCTCAGACGTGGGCGTGGCTACAGACGCCTGCCAAGGCAAGGTGTGACCATATAATTGGTCAAATTAGGTCTCCCCAGAGACCTCACAAGCCCAGCTGGACTACATCACAAATATAGATATTATTATTATTATTACCTTCGATGTTCTGAGCTTCCTCTTTTGAACGTTGCCTTTTTGACTGGGGTAGATCCAAATCTTCATACATCCTCATCCTCTTTGAATTTTCAGCTTTCTTATCCATCCTGTAATTTCAACGCATTAAAAATCTTTAAACAAGTACACAGAGTCTCACAGATATACACATTACCTATAATCTAATATAAATATGAGATTATAAATTTGAGATTTTACTCATATAAGAATGTGTAATATAGAATTATTGTGATGGTACCCATTTTATTAATGGGTGAACATAAACAGGTGCAAAGAAACATGCCCAATGTTTCGACCCTGGCTGGGAATCGACCCAGACCCTCGCCGTGTGAAGCGAGAGCTTTAGCCACCGGAGCATAAAGCTTATCTTCATCTGACCCCTCAGGGAAGGTTCCTTAATGCTGGTGAGGGGCTCTTGATCTGGGGAACTTGATTTGTGTTCCAGTTCCCCAAATTGAGTCTGAATACCTTCCATCCCCCCATAGGCACTGTATAATCCCTACGGGTTTAGCGCTTCCCATGATTAGTAAAAAAAAAATTATATTTATCTGGTTTCACTTCTTCCCCATCACTAGGGTCTAGACACCTTAAAATTAAAGCTGGCCTGATTCCATTGAGAGGTTCTAGATTCAAGGAACTGCATGTGGCAGGATTTGATAAAATAACTTTTAAAAGAAGCTTGGTGCCCTGGGGTATGTGGAAACATCGTCTAGCTCCGACTAGGCGCCCATACTTATTTTTGGGTCTATCTCCGTGGTAAAGTACTGTGTACTCTGATACAGAGTTTGCAGGTTTGAGTCCTGCTGTGGACGTAGAGACAATGTAAATAATTTCGCCTGTACTGTAGTAGCTTCGCCTGTATAATCCCCCAGCCTGGGCCTTTTCCAAGTGGTCGCTGGCTTTGACTCCCTTTCTCAGGAGAGTCTCAGACCAAAATCTGCCATGAGGAGGTACGAGTACCTCCTAGTCTTCTGGGACTAGCTGTCCCCAGGCCTAGCCCCATTCCCTGCTCCCACAGGGCTCGAAGGGAGAAGCTAGGCACCTTGGGCTGCCACAAACCCCGCCCACACTGGGCTTGAAGGGTATGGAAGCTGTGTAGCAGCAGACTGTCAGGAGGTGCAAAAGCAGCAAGCACTGCAGGATCCTTTTTGAGCAACCCCCCAGTATATTTCAAGACAGACCAAACTAAATGTGCCACCAAAAAAAATTTAAACAGTACATTTTTCAGGAGGAGTTCAAAGAAAAAGAAAAACAGATTTTACATGTTAAATTCTACTTAGAAAGCAACATCACATTATCACTCCCATCTCACAGCAATCTTTAGTAAGCAAAACTGGTTCTCCATGACACACCTCTGAGAGAATCAGGAGAACACAGGAGGGGAAAATATCAGTCCTCCCCAAAAAATGGGTGGATAGTCACATAAATCTTGTTGGTGGGACTGTGGCCGTAAAACCCTGGAGTCATCGCGGAAGACCCCCAAAAGGTGGACCTCCCAGGCCGACACCTACATGTCATTCCAAGGACCCTGGAGTCACCCCAGCGGTGATCAAAAAAGGAAAAAAAAAAATAAAAAGTCCCGGAGAACCAAAACAACTTGGATTAAGAGACATGACCCAAACAGTGGAGGGCGTCACTGCCAGCCCCACATTCACTAAAACTTTTAGGTCCAACAGTCCTTATACCAACATAAAACAGAGGTGAGGCATCCCAGCCAACACCTAAAAAAAAACATAGCATACCTTACCTAGGCATGGCACTTGATGTGACTACCTCCCAAAACACACACACACTAGGGAATCCTGATACCCCCCACTCCAGCTCAACCTGCCACTCCTTTGGGTGGTCCAGGGTTCCATCTACTCATCTACTGCAAATCACTGCAAAATAAGAACAGATAAGTTATCTATACACTACATCGTGTACTTAAAACACAAGACAAGGCATCAGCAACCACATTCTCCGCTCCCTTCACATAATGGATCACAAGATTAAGAGGTTGGAGGAACAAGGCCCACCTTGTAAGTCGCTGATTGTGGTTCCTCATTAAGTGAAGGAAACATAAAGGATTATGGTCACTATACACAGTTAGAGGGTGAACTGATGATGATATATACACCTCAAAATGTTGCACGGCCAACACTAAAGCAAGAGCCTCCTTTTCTATGGTGGCATAACTTCCTTGGTGCCTGTTACGTTTTGCCAAGAAGTAGCTGAGTGGCCTTACTTGCCCTGCTCTACCCTGCAACAAGACTACCCCGACCCCTGTATCATTTTGCAAAACCCAGGGTGGGTAACTCAGGATTACACATAAAAGATCTTGGGGGTTAATGGCATACAAAAGGTTCAGGTACAGTAATATTAAAGTTACATGGTCATGGAAATCAGATGACCCCCCTACAGTTCATTCATGCATTTTGCATGTAGTTCATAAAGAAGAGATTAACATGGCCCCCATTTTCAGCATCCCCAAACTTTCACTAAGGTGCACCATGGCTGAGCCACCAATACAACCTGTCTTTCAGAAGATCCAAACCTTCCACAATCTCGTACAATTTTCCTGCTTAAGTCATCTTTCTCAGGGACCTTATCCACCATCATTTTGAAGCCACCACACAGTTCCATCATAGCCTTCCCTGGACCCGGCTCCAATGCCAATCCCATCTCTCCAGCTTCCAGAATATGTAGCACCACCTCATGGTCCCACGTCATCCTGGGCGGAATGGCAGGCTGGTGCACTAGTGCCGTCGACCTCATCTTAGCCGGACAGTTTCTGAAACTGAGAAAAAACACTGCGGGGGAAACATCACCATCCTCACATAGCCCATGATTCCAGAGTGCTTCCCTGCACGGCAATGAAAAGGAGGGGAATACCCTCATCCCAGTCCTTCTGGTACTGAGTAAAACAAACGTGCATTGCCCTGAGAGACTGAGAAAACAACTGTGCTTTTCTTTGACTTCTAGAGTGATATACATTGGTAAATTTAACCTCCAGTAGGCCTCTCAAAACTACATGACATTTCATAAAATATGACTTCTGGGTGATTTGTGCAAAGCCTAACAGACAAAAATGTTTCACCAGAAATCTCAAAACCACACACACAAAATTATTCAGAAAGGGTATAGACTCTGGTAACCTGTCAGAAAAAGAATTTATTAATAAACACTGGTTATTCAGCTCTCCCTTCTTAACACTTAATTGTTGTTCCTTCAGAATCTGTAAAAAATACAGACAATGACACTTTAAAGTTCTGCTGCGGCCACTTGGGCACAGGTCCTCTTAAAAGAGTCTTGCTTATTTGACCAACTCTGTAAAACAATTTGGTAAATTTGGGAACCACCTCCTCCACAACAGCTGATAAGTGATTAGTGTTCCGGAGGTCACAACCTTCCTGGGCCTCGCTCAGCTGCTGCAGAGTCAGGGGATTTTTTCCCACATCAGCACCAAGACCACTTCTCCAACTGAGTTCCAGTTGAGACGGTTCATCACTGCCCAGAGTCTCCTGCAGGTCAGACTCAATGAACAGGCTCCCCAGGCCCAAACCATCACCACAGTCCACAGAAGGGTCACAGGGAGGCACAGCTCCTGCCTTGTTCCCCTGATTAGTCCTAGAGCACACTGAAAATCTTTCAGGCACCATTGCTCTAATTTGGCCATTACCACCTTGTAAAGCAGGGTCCTGCAAAACCAAACATTCCTCACTTTTGAGGAGTCCCACAACGTTGTTGACTAGTAAAAGGTCAACTCCTGCAAAAGGTACATCTTCTGCAATACCTAGCAGTGCTGTATAGCCCTTGTGGTTTAGCACTTCTTTTTAATTATAATAATAATAATCTGCAATACCTAGAGGTAGGTACCCAGACTGGTATGCAGATTCCACCCATAACCTGTGCACTGGAGTCCTGACAGGGACTCTGGTAATCCCTTTAAGAAAAATGTCCAATCCGGTGTAAGTGTCAGTATACAATATACCCCTGCAAAGCAAGGTGTATGTGATACCAGTGTCCCTCAAAGACATAACACCTGTGACCCTACCTTCATTTTGGTGTAAGGCCAAAGTAGACTTACTTGAAGAGACCTTCATCCAAGGGTCTAAGACAGCTGGTCTTCTTTGGATACCTTGGAGCAAGACTGCAATGCAAGCAACATCATGTGTAACTGGTGTACTTACTGGAGAAGCATCTGCTGCAGCCTGGTCCCTAAGCATCTTTAGACAATATGGCTGCAGGTGGCCCTGTTTATTGCAATATGTACAATGATAAGGTATTACGAATAGGAGATCTTTTTTAAAAAGGTTTAGGTTTACCCTGGGTTACGTTTTCTTCTCAAGGAGAAAAACGGGGGGGGGGGGGGTTCTCCTTTTATCGTAATACAGTTATTGAAACAAATTCCTTGATGTTTCGTTTATATTAATCAAAAGGGGTAAATCAAGACAAAGCCGTCTATACTAAGTTAACTTTAATGAACATATTTATCTTCATTCAGAATATACAATAAAAGGTATATTCAAATTCTTATGATTTGGGCCCATTAAATACTAAGCAATTTCAATGCTTAAATATACCAAGTTGATAATCTTTGTACATATATTTAAATTACTATATATACTTCCTTACAGCTCAGATAGAGGTACCACTTTTCCAATAACCGAGAAAACACCAATTTCCCAAGTCCGTCCTTGCATTAGGGAGATGTATGCAAACATTGTAAAATAATCCTCGAATAGATGAGTTGGTCTGTTTCCCCATTCACAGGGTAGACGAGGAAGAGCCAAAGCTAAGCAGGATTGTTCTCAGAGCTTGCCTGAGAGAGACTGCCGGGAACAAGCCTCGTGAATGGCAGGTAAACAGTAGGCGCCAAATCATGACGTCATAACCAACCCAACTCTTGGACAAAGTCGAGCTTGTTATACTTAACCGTACATATATACACAAATGATGAAGGATGACTGATAATACTATGACGATCCAGTGGCTTTGGTTTAGCTATTACCGAAGCAGCTAGTGAGATAGTATTATCTGTATGATAAAAGCAAAGAAATATTACGATACATCGTAACACCCCCGCCCTCCAAGAGTGGGATCGGTAATTAAGTTCTTGTCACGAGAAGCCCTTCGGGAGTGCCTGGAGATGAAGTAACTGCAGAACTTCATACAGAAACTCTTCATCCCCGCTCGCATGTCCTGAAGACCTCGTGAAGATATTTTCGTCTCACTCCATCTGGACAAAAATAGAACATTATTAATAACACAAGAACAAAAAAGAAACATCTTAAGAGCGGGACAGAGCGTCAGCCAGTACATTATCCTGACCTTTTATATGTGAAATTTCAAAAGCATAGGGTTGAATTCTAAGTGCCCATCTTAATATCCTGAGATTTTTAGATTTCATGGTGTTAATAAACGTAAGGGGGTTATGGTCAGAATATACAGAAATTTTATGGGGTGAAGAGCTCAGGTACACGTCAAAATGTTCTAAAGCCACCACAAGGGCTAAAGCCTCTTTCTCTACAGTAGAATAATTAAGTTGATGGGGGCGTAGTTTAGAGGAAAAATAGCAAATAGGATGAAGAATGTCATTATTGGTGGAATTTTAAAGTAACACAGCTCCTAGAGCATAACTGCTGGCATCGATGTGTAAGGTAAATGGTTTCTCAAAGTTGGGACTTTGTAGGATAGGAGCCGAGGACAGAAGACGCTTCAATCTTCGAAAAGCTTCTTCACAATCTTGGGTCCACTTAAACTTCACTCTTGAACTAGTAAGTTCTGTCAGAGGTGCGGCGACCTGGGCATAATTGGGACAGAATCTCCTGTAGTATCCTGTCATTCCTAAAAAATGTTGAATTCCTTTCTGGTCCGAGGGAGAAGGAAAATCCGAGATGGCTTGGATTTTCGCTTGAATCGGGGCCACTGTGCCTTGTCCTATTTCAAACCCTAGATAACGTACCTTGGCCTGACCAAAAACGCATTTGGCTAGATTGATGGTGAAATTATGACTTGATAAAGCCTTTAAAGTTCTTCCAATCTACCCAAATGATCAAGCCAGCTATCACTAAAAACAACCAAGTCGTCTAAGTATACGGCCACTCCTTGTAAAGGGAAGGTGAGCTCATTCATAAGACGCTGGAAAGTTGCAGCTGCATTGCATAATCTGAAGGGTGTAACTGTATAATTGAATAACCCATCTTTCACAATGAAGGCTGAAATGTCTCGAGCTCTTGGCGAGAGAGGTACTTGGTAATATCCTCTTAATAAATCTAGTTTGCTGACAAATTTGGCTGTAGAGACGGCGTCGATTAGGTCGTCAGTGTGAGGTAATGGGTAACTATTTGAGACTAGTGACGGCATTTATTTTTCGGTAATCCGTGCACATCCGATGACTGCCGTCCGGTTTGGGGACTCATATACAAGGGGATGCCCAAGGACTCTTGCTCTTTTTCAATCAGTCCATGCTCCAGCAGGAAAGATATTTCATCTCTCATTATTTGGTGTTTCGCTGGACTAACTCTGTAGGGGGGTTGTTTAATTGGCCGAGTCTCCCCGACATCCACGTCATGTTCTCCTAATGTACACTTCTTGGGTACGTCCTCAAACAAAGAACTATATTTCCTTATTAGTTCTTTAACTTGCATTTTCTTTTCCGGCCCTAGATTGTCTAAGAATTGGTCGAGATTTTCTAATGTTTCCGAATTCTTGAGACGGATCTCCTTTTCTCTGGAGACTTCTTCGTAAATGGGTTTCGTCTCTATGGGTAATGTTGAAATTGGCATAACCGGAAAGCTTCCTCTGTATGCCTTTAGCTGGTTAATATGAAATCTTTTGAGTGATTTTCCTTTCTTCACTACCTCATATGGACCTAAATAACAGGGTAATAATGATGTCCAGGAGTCAATCTTTGTATCAACACTAGGTCTTTAGGTTCAAATGATCAAGGCTTTGAGCGTTGATCATATAAATGTTTCATTTTGACTTGAGCCTGTCCTAGATTTTTAATGGCAAATTCCCTAGAGAGGGCTAACCGCTCTCTCATCGCCACTATGGATGCTTTTAAAGTAGGCTCAGTCTGTCCTGTCCAGGTATCTCGTAGCACTGCCATCAGGCCACGAACCTCATGTCCATAGATAATTTCGAAAAGAGAAAAACCAGTACTCTCCTGCTCGCTTTCCCTTATGGCAAATAATAAGAAGGGTATACCGTCATCCCAGTCTTTTGTGGTCTGTTCACAGAAGGCATGTAACATTGATTTCAAGGTCTGGTGAAACCTTTCCAGCGCTCCTTGAGACTGTGGACAATAACTCGTGGAGTACACTGAGTTCACTCCTAGACCAGACAAGGCTTCTTTAAATATTTTAGAAGTGAAATTGCTACCCTGGTCCGACTGGATCTCTCAGGGAATGCCCACCTGGGCGAAGAACTTTACTAGGGATCAAACCAACACTTGGGCTGTGATTTTTCGCAGAGGGATAGCCTCGGGATACCGGGTGACTGTATCCATTATTGTGAAAAGATATTGGTTGCCTTGCCTAGTCTTGGGCAAAGGGCCCACGCAGTCTATTATGAGGCGGGAAAAGGGTTCTCCAGACACAGGAATCGGGATTAAAGGAACGGGCCTGGGGACATGGGCAGTTTTACCGGCCACTTGACATACATGACACTCTTCTACATACTTTGCTATGGTGTCATACATTTTTGGCCAAAAAAAGTACTTCTTGATTTTTCCTAAAGTCTTTTTAATGCCTAGGTGCCCACCTTGGGTACTGCCATGAGCAAATTCAAGAACTAGGTCACAGAATGCTTTAGGTAACACAATTAGATCTCTGTGTAAATTCAATTTCTTGACCACTTTCTTTTTCAGGATACCTGAACTGTCAACAAAATAACAGTTTTCTTTTACCTTAATCAGTTCCTCGGGTACTGCCGTTCTTCTACAAGTTTCTAACTCAGGATCATCCATTTGTGCCTGGATCAAGTCCTCTTTTCCCCAGTTTCTGGTCTGAGGAGAATTTATATTAGGTACTTTCGTGATAGGATACGACTTGGAGGTGTCAGGTCGATTCATATCACTAAATAATAATCCTATCCCCATATCATCATTGCTATTGAGTGAAGGGGTAACCCTTTCTAAATGAGACATCGCCCGTGTTATCACATTAAGAGGGAATAAGGACGGTCCTTGTTTGGAAACTTCTAGAGCATAATTATCATCTGAAGTGTTAAGGAACACTATGGGTTCAGGACATATCCCTTTATGAAATATATCATTTCCTATTAATAAATCTACATCTTCAATGGGAAAGGGCCCTGGGGATAATCCCACTGTGATCCATCCGTTATAATAAGAAGTTTTCAAAAAGACTCTACACAAAGGAGCTTTGATTAGAGCACCTCCATAGGCTTCTAACAGAACTTCCAACTGGGGAACATCATTCTCACTTGTAGGTAACACTCCCTTTCTTAGAAATGTGATGTAAGAACCAGTGTCCCGAAATGTGTTAATGTCCACTAACCTTTTCTGATCTAACCCAACTTGTCCTTTTGAATAATAAGGAGCCATTGCCTTCTTCATGAGATCCACCGGAGTTCCGATATCTAGTCATCGGCGCAGGTGATTGTCGGAAGGAGAAGTCAACCTCGCCTCGCTAGATTTTTGGCTATCACCAGTCGAGTGAGTAATCATTTGAGTGGGATATGTTCTTCCGTAGTCCTTCTGGTCTTTATTCCTCTTAAAACACTGTTCTGCAGATGCCCTGTCTTCTTACAATATTGACAATATGGATCTTGGTTCCATCTACGAATAGCTTTAGGAGCTTCATCCCTGCCCTGACTTGGTAATTTTTCCCCCATGAGGGATTGAGACTTTCTCACAAAGGGGAAGGTCAGAGTATTCTTCCTCCAATCATCTGGTTTTCATTGGGGAGGCATCGACTTACTCAGAATCTTGGAATCGGTCATACTTAACGTTACATCATAACAATCGGCTAGAGAGGCTGTTTTGGTAACCGTAGAAGTAGAATGTCCGATTAGGTAAGAGTGTAGCCTCTCTGGTACATGGTTGAAGAAGTCTTCATGTAAGATTATTTGAGTCAGATCCTCCACCGTAGTACACTGAACGGCCCTCTTCCATCTGTGGAATGCCATTTGCTTCTCCCTCGCAAACTCAAGCCAGGATTGATGGGGTTGTCGTGTTAAACTCCGGAAAATTTTCTGATAAGTAGCCGGCAACAATTCATAAGAGTCTAACACAGTTTTTTCACGATGTCATAATTGGAAAATTGATCAGAAGGTAACCTAGCCGTACAGTTTTGAGCTTTCCCGTAAGGACTGTATGTAATAAGGCGGCCCAGTGTTCCTTGGGCCAATGCATCATGTGTGCTTGGTTTTCGAATGCTTCGAAGAAAGAGTTGGGGCTAGTATCGCTGAACTTGGGAACCAAATGAGTAGCGCGGTGTAGGTCAAAGTGGTCGGGAATACCTTTACCTCGACCGCCAAATTTTTCTCGTATTAGCTGTCTCTCATAACGAATCGACTCTCTTTCGAAGTCCTCCTGATTCAACTTTCGTTGTAGCTCAAGCTGGTTAGCTTGAAGATGGAGAATGCGCTCTATCCGTTCGCATTGCTCTGAGGATAGTGTTTCAAGGAAGGATTTTGTCGGTCGCGGATTGCTGTTTGTAGGTCCGGGTTGGTCGGATTCAGTCAGTCTGAAGAACATCGTAAGGGCTGGAGATATAGGGTCGGCTATAAGTGCCACCTCGATCTCTTCCTGACTAACCCTTGGTATCTCCTCCGGAGGTCGTGCTGTATCGGATTCCCTTCCTTTCTGAGATGTACTACTTAACTGGGAAATCAGGCTATCAGTTTCTTCCATTTTGTCTACAGATTTGACCTGATCATCGGGAAACAACAAGTTTCGTATAATGGAGTGCACAGTGTTTGCAGTATAGTGTCTCTCGTATGGTACCCCTAAAACTCTAGCGATTTCCCAACATGTTTGTAATTTCAATGTGGCCAGTCTCTGAGAAGTAATGTCATCGAATAAGGATTTTAACTCTTCCATATTTTATGATAGTTCAATAATGGGCCAAACTAGATCTCCCGGACACAGGCCCCCATCTATTATGAATAGGAGATCTTTTTTAAAAAAGTTTAGGTTTACCCCGGGTTACGTTTTCTTCTCAAGGAGAAAAAGGGGGGGGGGTTCTCCTTTTATTGTAATACATTTAT